CAGTTGTGCAAGCCAGAATCTTTGTACAGACAAGACATTCATGAAGTCCTACTTTGGACAACCCTTTGTGCAGATTTCTGTTTTCTAATTCCCAGATGTGTTTCAGTGATCAGATTTATGAATGAACCCGTTGACCCAGACCGGAAACAGACTGCTCCGCCCATTCCTAGTGTGGTCTGACATCTGTGAGTGTTTCCCTAACCAGTTTAAAGTTGATAGCGTGGATCACACGACGCAGAAAAGATTTCCCACAGCCTATAGGTTATCTGATAAAGGGATAAACATTATTTCTGAATTTCTTGGAAAGCACATAAGCCTTGTGAGCTGGAGTTTGACTAGCCTTGTTGGTTCCAGCAGTGAGCTGAGTTTTCCCAGTTCTTCCAGTGTTGTTGTTGCTGTTTAGTCGTTTAGTTGTGTCCGACTCTTCGTGACCCCATGGACCAAAGCACGCCAGGCACTTCTGTCTTCCACTGCCTCCCGCAGTTTGGTCAAACTCATGCTAGTAGCTTCGAGAACACTATCCAACCATCTCGTCCTCTGTCGTCCCTTCTCCTTGTGCCCTCCATCTTTCCCAACATCAGGGTCTTTTCCAGGGAGTCTTCTCTTCTCATGAGGTGGCCAAAGTATTGGAGCCTCAGCTTCACGATCTGTCCTTCCAGTGAGCACTCAGGGCTGATATCCTTCAGAATGGAGAGGTTTGATCTTCTTGCAGTCCACGGGACTCTCAAGAGTCTGCTCCAGCACCATAATTCAAAAGCATCAATTCTTCAGTGATCAGCCTTCTTTATGGTCCAGCTCTCACTTCCATACATCACTACTGGGAAAACCATAGCTTTTACTATACGGACCTTTGTTGGCAAGGTGATGTCTCTACTTTTTAAGATGCTGTCTAGGTTTGTCATTGCTTTTCTTCCAAGAAGCAGGCGTCTTTTAATTTTGTGGCTGCTTTCACCATCTGCAGTGATCATGGAGCCCAAGAAAGTAAAATCTCTCACTCCCTCCATTTCTTCACCTTCTATTTGCCAGGAGGTGATGGGACCAGTGGCCATGATCTTCGTTTTTTTGATGTTGAGCTTTAGACTATACATTCTTCCTGTAGTTCTTCCTGTAGGCCCCCAAAATTTTGCACTTCCGGGGGGCGGCGCGAACGGCAATGGCGGTCTTCTCCCGACGGGAGAGGAGGCTCCGCTGAAATCGGGTCGTCCGCTACGGCGAAGCGGAGACCCAACGAGGAAAACCCCAGGCAGCAAGAGCCTGGGGTCCTGAGGCTCGGCGGGCGCCACGAGCAGCCCTCCAACTGCAGAAGGAGCCTCGTAAGGGGCTCCGGAGCGTGGAGGGGGGTTGCGGTGCTGAGAGCCGTTTCACAGTCAGCGGAGTGAAGCCGCGCTGCTGCTGCCGGTGAGCGCTGATCCCTTTTCCTGTCAAAATTCGGACTTGGAAGAAAAACAACTTATTCGTGAGTAAAGACTGAATCACTTGGAATTACAAATTTTAAATGAGAAGGTTTAATTCGGCTTGAACTTGGCTGAAAGCGGAGAGACGTGGAAACAGGAAGTCCGTCTTCCGCAGCCATTGAACTTGAAAAAAAAGCAACTAAGGCGGAGGAGTGGAGGCTGAAAGAAAGAGATTTTAAATTCTACACAGCCAAGCATCTATGGAACTTACAATTTAAAGTAAAACCAGTAAGCTAAAGATTTGGACCTTTTATTTGCACTTGACTTTCCCCCTTTTATTGGATTACAAATTGGAAGGTGAAACCCAGAGTCAGGATTGCTTGAGCACTGTAAGAGTGAGCTGTCAGTGTTGATTTGGATACTGTATATTAGAATTTGCAACAATCTGAGGGTATTGAGACCTTTTAAATTTGAAACATTCTTTTTGGAGACAAATAAGCACTGTCTGCAACAAAGTGATTACTTTTAAACTCTGCTTAATACTTATATTGGAAGGTTCTGGGACATTAAATCAGACTCTGAAAGACATCTTAAGCTCCCTCTAGAGGATTGGATTAAAACAGTGACTTTACAAATACATTTACTTTCGATTCCCTTGTTGTTTGCTTGCTCTGGGCCTTTCTATTCCTGTGGGAAAAACTCAGTGTGACCTTGACTGATAGATAACATTGGAATGAGTGGTACAAGAAGAAGAGGAAGAGTCAGACAAACAACTTTAACAACTCTAACCTCAGCCTCGCAGACACGTAGATCATCTGTGCCTACTTTGCCCTCAGAAGTACAACTTGAAGAAGCTGCTTTGCCACAGGCAAAAGAGGGAGAGGGTGAAGCAGAGCAGTTACAATTGGAAGATATGGCCTCAGGAGCATCTGTTTCTGTTCTAGAAAAAATCTTTGAAAAATTGGAAGCTTTGGACAAGAAAGTAGATGCGCAATCAGCAAAGATTGATAAAAATACAGATTGTCTAAACAAATTAACTACACAGGTGGGACAGAATACACAAGCAATTGGACAGTTAACGGAGGCCTCAGTAGAAAACCGAAAATTGGCTGAGGATACCAGACAAAAATTGGAAAATTTAGAGCAAGAGGTAAGACCACTCACTAAACAAGTTGGGGAACATCAGACTTATCTTTCTATGATAGAACTGCGAAATCGTGAGAATAATTTGAGGATTAGATCATTACAAGAGGCAGAAGAAGGAAATCTAACTGAGTTTTTGACCAAAGAACTTTCCAAGTTCTGGAATTTGGAAGAAAAGGACTTTAAAATTGTGTCAGCTTTCAGACTTGGAAGATTTATAAAGAAGGAGAGGCCCAGGGATTGTTTGATTACATTGAGATCGAAGGAGGAAAGGGATAAGATTTTGGGTCTACATTACGAAAAGTCACTGGAGGTTTTGGATAGAAGAATTGAGATATATAAAGATATTCCAAGACAACTGTTGGATCTCAGAGCCGCCTACTCTGAACTTGCTAAATTATTAAGGAGCAACGCAATTCCATTCAGGTGGGAATTTCCCCAAGGATTATCTTTTACCTTTAGAGCGAGAAAGGTCAAAATTAGAACATTGGAAGAGAGAGATAAATTTCTGGCTACATACGGAGAGGACCTACAAAAAGGAATTGAACTACCTTCCGGGCCTGGGGCAAAGCCAGCATTAATACCTGCACCTGGGGAACTTGAAGATCCAGAGAAGACACCACCCCGGGAGAAATAACCAGACAGATCCAGGATGTCTCTGCAACTGTTGAGCTGGAACATTAATGGTTGTAACATTCCGGAGAAAAGGAAGAAAATATTTCATATATTAAAAAAAGAACAATTGGACATTATCTGTTTACAAGAAACACATGTGACGAGGCTCCACAGAAAAGTGTTAATAAATAAAAGATTGGGCCAGGAATTTATTTCGTCGGACAAAGTGAAGAAGAGAGGAGTGGTGATATATGCAAAAGAGAGCCTGTCACCTAAATTTCTATTTAAAGATGAACATGGAAGGATTTTGGCTATTGAGATACAATATCAAGGAGAGAAACTGCTGATATTAGGAATCTATGCACCCAATGAAGGGAAATCGGAATTTTACAAGAAGTTGCAGGGGACAATGCTGGATCATCTGGATTACAACAACATCATAATGATGGGAGACATGAACGGGGTCGTATCAACTAACATGGACAAGTCGCAAAGTCAAAATGTCACAAAAGATGGCAGACTACCTAAAACCTTTTTGAAATGACTGACAATATGGACTTGATTGACATTTGGAGAACAAAGAACCCACTAGGTAGAGAAGGAACATTCTTTTCTGAAGCCCAACTGACCTGGACAAGAATCGACCAAATATGGATTTCTAGAGGCCTGGCACCTAGGGTTAGAAAAGTGGAAATCTGCCCAAAGACCTGCTCTGACCACAACGCAGTAAAGATGGATATGACACTACTACCAACTGGATCCTTTAGATGGAAGATGAATGACAATTTGTTTAGAGATCAGGAAATTACCAAGAAGGCCCAAAAAGTTTTGAAAGACTATTTCGAGATAAACATGAATAATTCGGTGGAAAAAGAATCGTCTGGGACGCAAGCAAAGCTGTCATGAGGGGATTCTTGATACAACAGAATGTAGTAAGGAAAAAAACACAAAATGAGAAAAAAGACAAGATCTTGGATAAAATAAAAGAATTAGAGAAGAAATTAAGAGTGAATCCAAAGTCACAGCCAACTCTGAGAGAAATTAAACTGTATCAAACACAATATTCTAAATTGATAAATCAGGAAATTGAATGGAAGATTAAATTAATGAAACAAAAAACGTTTGAGTCGGCGAATAAATGTGGAAAACTGCTATCTTGGCAGTTGAAGAGAAGACAAAGATTAAATACGGTTACAAATTTAGAGGTCGATGGAAGAAACATTCAGAATCCAGTGGACATTAGAAAGTGTTTCCAGAGATATTTTAAAAAACTATATACCCAAGGGCCGCAAGACGAAGTCGAGATTAAACAATTTTTGGCAAAAAATGGATTATCTAAACTGTCACAAGAAAATAGGACAACCCTGAACTCTAAAATAACACGACAGGAGATTGAACAAGCTATTCAGAACATGCAACTTGGCAAATCTCCAGGGCCAGACGGGCTGACCTCCAAGTATTATAAGACACTAAAAGACTATTTGATACAACCCTTGATGGAGGTTAGCAATGAAATTATGGAGGGAAGAGGGCACCGGATTCGTGGAAGGAAGCGTTTATCACATTGATACCAAAGTCAGAAGCTGAAAAGACACAACTGAAGAACTACCGTCCCATCTCCCTTTTAAATGTGGATTACAAAATATTTGCAGATATTTTGGCAAGTAGATTTAAAATAGTTTTAAATGTAGTAATTCATAAGGACCAGGCCGGTTTTCTCCCAGGTAGACATCTGTTTGCTAACACAAGGAACATTATTGATATCTTGGAACTTCTCCAAACTGACATAAATACAAAAGCAGTTTTAATTTTTATAGATGCGGAGAAGGCCTTTGATAATATTTCTTGGAAATTTATGATGGGAAACTTAAAAGAGATGGGAGTGGGACGGGGTTTTGAGAATGGGATTGAGGCGATATATTCAGAACAGAAAGCTAAACTGATAGTTAATAATGTGGTTACAGAAGAGTTCAAAATTGAAAAAGGGACACGACAAGGCTGCCCTATCTCCCCTTTGTTATTTATTTCGGTTCTGGAAGTGCTATTGAACATGATTAGAGGGGACCAGTTGGTGGAAGGAATTCAGGTTGGTCAGAAACAATATAAACTAAAAGCTTTTGCAGATGACCTGGTTTTGACCTTGCAGAAGCCAGAGCCTAGTACGAAAAGAGTATTACAATTGATTAATGACTTTGGTCGGGTGGCGGGATTTAAATTAAATAAACAGAAAACCAAGGTTTTGGGAAAAAATTTGACTGAGACAGAGTCAGAACGGTTTCAGAATGAGACGGAACTTAATGTGGTTAAAAAGTAAAATACCTAGGGGTAAACATAACAGCAAAAAATCTAAGTCTATTTAAGGATAACTATGAAAAATGTTGGACAGAAATTAAGAGAGACTTAGACAGTTGGTCAAAATTGAAACTTTCTTTGTTAGGCCGAATTGCTGCGATTAAGATGAATGTATTGCCAAGAATGTTGTTTTTATTTCAAACACTTCAGGTTTTGGACAAAATGGAGTGCTTTCAGAAGTGGCAGAGAGACATTTCGAAGTTTGTCTGGCAGGGCAAAAAGCCCAGAATTAAGTTTAAGATACTAACTGATGCAAAACAAAGAGGGGCTTTGCCCTGCCGGACTTAAAGTTGTATTACGAAGCCGCAGCGTTCTGCTGGCTAAAAGATTGGCTACTTCTTGAAGACACTGATGTGTTAGATTTGGAAGGGTTTAACAATGTTTTTGGATGGCATGCATATTTATGGTATGACAAAGTTAAAGCAAATAAGGCCTTTAAGAACCATATTGTTAGAAAATCACTGTTTAATGTCTGGACAAAATATAAAGACTTGCTGGAAAATAAAACACCAAGGTGGCTTTCACCTTTGGAAGCTAAGGCCCGAAAAAGACCCAATATGGAGGCCAAATGGCCAAAATATTGGGAAATACTAGGAAAAGATGGAGACAATTGGAAATTGCAGAGTTTGGAGAAAATGAAAGACAAAGTGCGAGATTGGTTACATTATGCTCAGATTAAAGAAGTTTTTAAAAATGATAAGAAACTAGGGTTCCAGGTGGAGAAATCGAAATTAGAAACAGAATTGTTAGAACCAAAGACTAAGATACTTTCAAGGATGTATAACTTGCTGTTGGAATGGAATACACAAGATGAAATGGTTAAATCGGCTATGATAAGGTGGGCACAGGATATTGGGCATAATATTATGTTTGAGGACTGGGAAAGGCTGTGGAGTAATGGATTGAAATTTACTGCATGTAATGCTTTGAAAGAAAATGTAATGAAAATGATTTATAGATGGTATATGACCCCAGTCAAACTCGCAAAAATTTACCACCTGTCTGATAACAAGTGCTGGAAATGTAAAGAGTGTGAAGGAACGTTCTTTCACCTCTGGTGGACCTGCCCTAAAGTGAAGGCGTTCTGGGAAATGATTTATAATGAATTGAAAAAGGTATTTAAATATACTTTCACTAAGAAACCAGAGGCTTTCCTTTTGGGTATTGTCAGCCAAGGGGTGGCAAAGAAGGACCAAACATTTTTATGTATGCAACAACAGCAGCAAGGATACTACTCGCAAAACATTGGAAAACTCAAGATCTACCCACACTGGAAGAATGGCAGATGCAACTGATAGACTATATGCAACTGGCTGAAATGACTGGCAGAATCCGTGACCTGGGAGAAGAGAGAATCGAGGAGGATTGGAAGAAATTTAAGAACTACCTACAAAAACATTGTGATTTGACTGAATGCTGAATAAGATGCTTGACTAAATAACTGAGCACCACTTAACTTAGAAGTTTTTAAGAAAATAAGAAAAACTGTGAAAGTTTAACTCTTTATGAGAACTATAAGATCATGAAATATCGAAGAGATATAAGAATTTAAATAAGATGATAAATTGCTGACAAAATGTTATAATGATGAAGGTGGGAGCGGGAGATGTGAGGAAGTCCAAAGAAAATGTGAAATTATGTTAAGACGAATGTTATATTGTTTATTACATTTATTCCTATTGTAAAATCCAATAAATTGCTTTAAAAAAAAA